TACTCCTACTACTGAGGACTATTGAAGGGATATCTAGCTTGATAATTTGTGAATAGAAATGGCAACATTATGACGATAATTCCTACACAAGGTTGCGTGGTATTTTTACACCATTGGAAATTTGCTATTTTAGGGACTACTGGGCACCTCTATTTTAATTCGGTAAAAACATAACGTCCACGTAACAGGCGGCTGATCTTGGCAGGATACGCGGGCTGTAATTTGGAGACCCCTGATTTAGATGAATGAAACAGATGAAAGGTCTTCTGTTTACAGGCAAACATAAATAGCAATATTATCTTCAGGATTTTAAGCACTGTGCAATGACTCAAAAATAACTCTTAATAAGGTATTAGACAAATAAAGTATTTTAAAATTTAAATATGTGAAACCTTATTTCTTGCGCAGTCCTTTGTCACAGCCAAACATTCCTCCACCTGTTACAGAAGGGGATCAAACATTCTTGTTAGTTGTATTTTCAACAATGTCAGAAAAAAACAACACATTTAAGGACTGATCTTTCTCTGAAAAAGAGACACTTCAAATCTAAATAAACTATACATTATATATTCTAATTATTGTTAATTTATATACTATTTAATAAATGTATAAGAACAGATCTGACATTATGACTGTTTTGGTAGCTAGACAAACATTCCTCCACCTGTTACAGAAGTTGATCAAACATTATTGTTACAGTTGTGTTTTCATCACTGACAGTAATACAGATTTAAGGACCGATCTTTCTATGTAAAAAGACAACGTTAAAATTTAAATTAACAAAAATGTTAAATTATTTTATAATGTTGATTCACAAACTATTCAGTAACTGAACAAGAACTGATCTAAGATTATTACTGTTTTTGTAGCTAGAACAATGGGAGCTCCGAGCTGCTTGTAATTTATATCATCTCCTTTGATTAAAGCTTTTGCTGCGTTGAAGTCTGCCTCAGCTTCAGCAAACCTGTGAATGGAAACAAAAAAACTTTGATATTTACTATGAGGAATCAATATAACAAGCCATTACTTACTATTACCAATCTTTCTACCACGGCAAGATTTACTTTGAGCTTAGAAATTAATCTCCCAAACATCTGACTAAATGAGCCGGTGAGCAGTAAAAAAAAATCTACAAGACAAAGAATTTAATAGGGATGACAAAATAGTCCCAGACTACATTAAAGTATAAATAACTACAAATTGGAAAAACGCATAGTGGGATTTTGTAGGCATCTTGCATTATTGATTCAACAAGGGAATCAGTAGAGAATCAGATTTATATCAATAAAAGTCATTTCATTTTATCCCATGAATTATTACCTTCCCAGATGATGACAGCTTAGTCCTCTTGTGAAATAGGAAAGCGCAAGATGGTTATCTTTTTCTATACTTAGTTTGAAAGTCTGAAGATTAAAAAACTAGAAATTAGAATTCCGTTAGTTTTTCTGTAGACAAGGATGTATTATTAATTTTTTTGTGTGAGTGAAATAAAATAAGAAAGAATATAGAAAATATTTTACTAAACAAATAAAATAAATGAAATAAATATTTAAGCCTTGCCTCAAGCCAACACTCACTAAAAAATGTACAATTTTTAATATCCCTTAAGATTAAGATTAATAATAAAAAAACATCAACTTTGGTATTTAGATACATGTAGCAAAACTCATATAATTTATAATGAACATTTTGATACACAAAATACATACTATTATTAAAACCAAATAGCTGTTTTTAGAAGAAAATCTATGTTTGTATCTTTCTTTGGACCGGCAATCAAGTTATGAGTTAAACTAATTGAATTCACAAATCACCTGTGTGGCATCAGTGAATAATTTCTGCAACATTAGGATACATCCTAAGTTATGAATGATCTTTGCAGATGGATTCTCAATAGTTCTCAACTTTTTTGCAGCTTTTTGAAACTGCAGATCATCAAGTGAGCAGCAAGCTAGATGCCATGTTTCTATAGTTTCTTTTAGTGCCATTTTGTTCTTATCTACATGTACGAATTACTCAAATACTATTTGCTGTCAATACCCTAGGTAAGGATGTATAAAATGATCTTCATAAATCAATGTAAATGATTATCAACAATTATTAACATTTAGCCTAAAATTCCAGATTAACTTTAAAAAAAAAAATTTTTGCAGTGTGATTATTAATACTATTCTGTTAAGTGTATTGACCTAAATGTGAAGGCCCAATGAATATAAGAAAGGTTGCTGTAAATGGGCCTATTGTAGAATTGTAAACTTATACTTATTGGGTGACTGAGGCGCTGTCCCTAACAGTATCAGACTATTATAGACTGGACACTCCAGTTCCAAATCAGCAGTTTTGAGACCCTGATTGATCCCTGTCTGATGCAAATCATAGTAAATGGTTCAGCCTCTGGCTGTGTTGCAATTTAAAAGAGCTTAACATATTTTTTTAAAATCTAGTCTACTTTATCCAAAGGGTATTGGCCTATTTATAAGGTTAATTTAATAAGCCAATGATTAGAATAACATACAATCTATAAAAAAAAAAAGAATTTGGGATGTAGTTTAAATTTAAAATTTAATCGACACTGACACACAATATATATATATTACCAGTCCATTGAATTATACTAAACAATTATTATAAAATTTATATTAGGCTATTATAATATCATCTCCTATGCCTATTTATTTAAAATAACTAATATAACTTTAACTTAATGCATAAGTATCAGTAAAGTATAGTAATATAAAGCCTATTATTAATTATATATATAACAATGAGCTAGTGTATCCATATAACGCTAAAGAAACAATTAATTTAAATACCATGTAGGGTAGGCGAATAATATATAGCAGAAAAAATACTTCTCCAAACTTAATGATGTCTGAAATGTAAACATCACTACATTACATAGATACATCTTTTTAAAATAAGGATTTGTGATGAGTTTTCGGGTCATATATTCTAGTACTCCAATAATCTACTTTATAGTTATTATAGACTAGGACTATATTATAATCTGTATAATAATAATATATTAGTATTCAGGGACATACATAAATGACATCACGCATTCAGGGGCTGTCAAATTTTTATGGCAATGTGTGACAAGGGGGAGGGGGAGTGTTTAGGCAATGTAACGCCACATTTCAATCTGAACATTATTGGAAAAAAATTTCACTTAATAACACTAAATTGCAGAAATTTTTAACTTTATTCTTTTAATTATTGTATTTTTAAACTAAAATCCCTGAGAGAATCAGTACAGGTATCCCAGGGCCAAAAAAATGGCTTCTGAACAAGTTAAAGGAAGCCACATAGAATGAGAATCGGTTGTAGTGACATTAACAGTCGAAAGAATTTTGTCTAAATGTGGAGAGAAGCAAATCATAGAATTAGGGATACAAAGTGAAGTGGGATGGAACTAAAAATGGTTGAACGGGGGTGGGGGGTAACCTTAGTAAATATTCTAGGGTAGGGATTCTAAACCATTTCGCAGCGCTGCCTTTCCTCTCAATTTTAATTCATTTTCCTCAACCCCCCCCCGGCATAAATTATATTGTAATAAAAAAATTAAATTATAATAATTAAATAATTTAGTTATTGTCATTTTCACCTCTAATTAAGTTTCTAGAAACAATATAAAAAAATACTACTACAACTAATGCGTAAACGAAATTCACCACAAAAACATTTTTTCTGCTAATCAAAAGGCATAAAAACTGATTTTTTCTTTCAAGGCAGCACCAACTAGCAAAGGCAACAAATACAATTGTCTGGGTCTTCAGCACTTCAAATGGTGCTTTGACCCATGTTTAAGAACCACTGTTCTAGGGAAATGTTTCTGACACAGGTGCAGTTATTCGATATCCATTGGTGGTGAAGACAGTGAAGTTTTTAAGTTTAAGGGTTTATAAAGGATAGTAGTGAGTAATGGAAAGAGGAATTTTTTTTATGTGGTATGGGGGGGTGCAGAGGTTTGTGACGTTATATTTGAGGGTGAGTCTAATTTTTTGTGATGATGGGGGGGGGGGGGGGGTTAAAAAATTGGCAAAATTTATGTGATGTCATTTATGATTATGGATGGCCCCTTAGTATTGGGCAGGGTAAATAAATAAAATAACTATAGTTATAATAATTTAAAGGCCCTAAACTTAGACAGCACTTGACTTAATTTTGATAAGGATTCATTAATACAATTTATAGTTTTCATTAATATGATGGACTGATGGAGGCATCTGACAATTATTAAATCTAAATGACTGATTGTGATTGGCAAGTCCAATGACAATTTTTAATAATAATGACTAATGAAATGACAAAAGATTATATTATCTGTCACTGTCATTACTACTACTGTCACTGTCAGATGGGTAGTACTGACTCAATAATATTCAATACTGTACTGATGTACTGTGTATTGACTATAAGTATAAGATATGGCATACAGCTGCAGCTATTTGAATTTGGAACCTGGTTTCAAGAGTGAGAGGCTGGGTTTATTAAAAAAATATGTTCAAAATATTATTGTGGGGTTTGTAAGATTAAATTTGGGGTAAAAGTGCAGTTCAGGTGCGTATATTATTTATTAGCGCATTTCGTATTTAATTTTTTTTTATCATGTAAACTTACGTTTATTAAACTAATTAAAGAGTGCAGTTCAGGTGCGTATATTATTTCTTAGCGCATTTCATATTTTAACATTTTTTATCATGTAAACTTACGTGTATTCTTTAATAATTTAATACAGGCAGTTATAGTTAACTAATTCTGGATTATAAATCGCATCTTTTCTTTTCATTTTGCTTCTAAAGAGTCTTTAAACATCCCCCAACCAAAGTGACACAGCCCCCATTTGTTTGTATTTTTCTTTTTACGCTATGCCAGATTTTTAGCCACCTATAAGTTAGTATGCTAAACGAAATTTTCAAACTAAGCATGTTCACTAATACGCTGTCCGTGATTGGTCAGCTCTAATTTGAGCACCCCCTCCTCTTTTTTCGTATGCAAATGCGCTTATTACTGGTGACTGATTTGCGCTGAGTAAAGTGAGGGCTAGTGATTATTTTTTTTATAAGATGGACTCGTTTTGGCTTTGCGGTATTGCTGGTTGTAGGATCATTTTGTTTAAATTTGCAGGACGACCAAGAAACAATAACTAAAATTGTTGATGCAACAGGCATTTTTAATGGTGCAGCATTTGGTTTATACGCGCCCCTTGTGGGGCAACAAATAACGTTAATACAACAGACTGGAATTTCTCCTAAGGCGCTCGTAACAATTGCAATGTGGTTTGTAAGCTGGGTTCGTATGTCAAGTATGTGAGCTCCCCATAATTACCGGGATCTGCATATCACCCAAAACGGGATCTCACCCGAAACGGAATCTCACCCGAAACGGGATCTCACCGTAACCAGTATCCCGCCAGGATCGGTAACCCACTGGATCGGGATCCCACTGGGATCAGGATCTCACTAGGATCAAAATCCTATCGGGATCGGCATCTCACCGAAACGGGATCCCGCCGGATAGGGATCTCATTTAGTTTGGGATACCACCGGAAATGGATCTCACCGGGATAGGTATCTTACCGGAATCGGAATCCCACCATGACCAGGATTCTATCGGAATCACATCGGGTTCGGGATCCCATCATGATCCTTCTGGGTGCCATCGGAAAACGGGAAAAACGAAAGGTTTACATAAGTTATTTTAATTGTTTTTAATAGGAGACAAATTAATTATTATTATTTTTACTATAGTGTTGTTATTTTGTTGTTGACATTTCCTTTAATAGCAATGTGAACTAAAAGGACGTATCAGATGTTTTTGTCTGAATGCAGCCCCGGGCAACTCCGGTTATAGTTGATAGTAAAGTTATAAAATAAATACATCATTTATTTTAACAAGATTCATCCAATGGGGCAACTTTTATAAAGTATCTTTAAAGACAGAAGAGTTATCCTTGATTTACCACAATGGCTCCGTAAAACACGAAAGATTCATAAAAATTTACTTTTTTTTATCTCGTAATATTTGTTAAATTGTTGTTGTATTCCAATAAAAAGATGGTTATATAACTTTTAAAATACTTTTTATAAAGAATTAACATAAGTTTACACGGGAAAATAAGAGATTCAAACAGAAATAATATACGCACCTGAACTGCACTTTTAAGGTTGAGAGCATTTCATCATGCCACCATCCCCTTTCCAAACTTTCTTACTCTGAGGGGGGGGGGGGGCTAATGTTCATGGTCTTACCAAGCACTTTCATGCGATACACAGTTACACAGAATAAAGCAGGACCCCTGTTAAACTTAAATCTAAATAATTTAATATAAGAGATAGACCCCAAGCCATAATATAAGAGATAGACCCCAAGCCACAAGTGTTGTGTATAAATGAAAAGGAAACAGAATTTACTATTCTATAAAATGATTTTGATATAACTTTGGACTATGAAAAAAAAAACTATTGACAACAGCACAGACAAAAATAGACATGAAATTTATTGGAAAAATAATTCACAAATGTCCAATTATTTTGAAATTATTATAGGTTTATTTAAAACATATGGTGAAATACATTTAAAATGGGTGAGCCAGTAGAGTCACCTCACTGGAGTTGAATAGTTAATCAGCTTTGTCAAAATTGAATTTTGTAGGTTTGAAGTGTAATTTTTACTTAAATTTACAGTACAGTCACTCACTAACAACCTGAATTGAAATAAAGTATGGATGAGGACGAGAATGAAGGCAGAATTCTGGAGGAGGGAGAAGCACCACCAATCCCTGCTGTAAAATATGAATGTAAGTAATTTAAGTTTAACATAAAGCCAAATGCCTCTATTAAAATTAAATGGATACTTTGATTTAGACAAAGTAAAGTTCATATCTAACAGTGTTATATTGTGTTTATAATTGTTTCATTAATTTAGTGACCTAACAAATATTCTAATGTTTGTTAACTTTTGTCCTTTGTTAATTTGTTTATTAATACAATATACATATATGTAGTCTATTAATTCTATTAACCACTTTTACTGGTTTTCCTTCTCTTAGATTTGGACCACACAGCTGATGTCCAGTAAGTATAGATTTGTCATTGAGAAAGTAACCACACAATGTGATGTCTTGTTTGAAAGCATCCATTTATTTCAATTAAATATTAAATTAACTTTATATATTGTTATAATGATTTTTACTCATTCAAAAAAAAATGATTAAAAAGTTATATTTTACAATCCTTTTATTTTCAGGCTTCACTCATGTATCCTTTGCCTTTGATTTAAATGAAAGATAGTGCCAGAAATAGGCCACCTCCAATTTACAGTCTTTTCAGTTTGTTTAGCATTCTTAATTTTGATAATAAAGTGAATCTGAGAATAAAAATATTATTCAAATTAAATAATGACATTAAAAAAATATGACGCTAATAGTATAGACAACGATAGTGATCGGCATGGACTTCTTAAAGGTAATATTTCTCTCACCAGGGCACATTTCTTCTTAACTCAGAATAAGGGGGTGTTGACTTGAAGGAAAGTTTTGAACAAGTGAGTTTTTTTGTTGTTGTTACTCTGTTCTTAATTTAACCAAACATTCTACAAGATCGTAATCAAAATTAAACTTTAAGTTTTCATACATTTTTGCATTCCTTTAAAATTGAATTAATCCATACCATTATATGATTGGTAGTGATTCAAGCCTTGTGCCACGTTTGGATATTGTGTATCAGATTAGAAGATTTCCAAGTAAACTCAATTTCAGTTTTAATGTTTTATACTTCTTTTTCTTTGTGTTAAACCACAGATTGCCATGGCGATGTTTAATTACATGACGACAGATTACGACACAGTTGAGATGAAGGAGGTTCATGAACTTGAAGTTTCTGGTGAGATTTCTTTTTCCAGCTAAACTAATTGGATTTTTATGAATATGTTATGATAGTATGGTTTTAACTAGTGCACCACTGCTTAAAAATTTTTTTATTTGTATTACTGCATTTCTCCTAGGATATGCTGCACATTTTGCCCTGATGTAAGTCTTTAAACTAGGGGTGCATCATAAAAGTACTGGTAAAATAGAATCAAAATTTAAGGGATGCAGTTTATCATCAGTAGCAATCTTTACTCTGAACAATACACTATTTAGCATTACATAAAACTTACGTTGTTATCTTTAGGGCTATATAATAATGTACACATCTTTGCTAGAATTAGAATCTCTATCCAGCATTTTGCTCTGACTGCTCACTTTGTTCATCTTTAATCAGAATTCATTGAGGGTCTCTACATTCTAAAAATATTTTGTACCATTGCCTCGCACTAATAACTATTTTAATATTCCAGCGGATGACTTGTTGTCCCTGATGTATCATTTCCTAGACGAGTTTCTTTTTCTTTTCTCTGCTGAACCATTTTTCATACCACGGGTGAGTTGTACTTTAGTCTTTTAAAAAATGTTGTGGTCCTTATAGTCTTTTAAGAATTTATTTTTAATAAAAACACTGCAATTCATTTCTTGTGATTAGTGAATCCCATTTTTTGAATAGCAAAAAATAGGAATATTGATAATTAAATTAATATCATACTAGGAAAATAATTTTTTTTTCCATGTGTTTGAAAAGTTGTTAAAATCTTCAATATTATGATAATTTTAATCCCATCTTTTTTTCCTAAATTTGATTAATTGATTAATACTCTTTTTTTTTCTGGTTGTTTGTTTTTTTTAAGGTTGTTAAAATAACAGAGATGGACTTGGACAATTTTAAGTTGAAAGTTGTGGGGTGAGTGTCATAATAGATTTCTTTCCCAAAAATGTATTTATCCTGTGCTATGCAAGAATTAAGTGCAATCTCAGTTTTTTCTTTAAATTATTCATTTGAATTGAAGAAACTTTAAAAAAATTTTATTACAGGTATGGGGAACCATTTGACATTTCCAAACACCCCCAGGTAAGATATTCTCTATCACACTCATATGCATACAATCATAACTTTAGCTTCTAAAATTTATTAAATTTATCACAAATTTAAATATCAAGGCTTATAACTTTGAGTTTCATTTTTGGTTAAAATGATAATTTCTGAAATACACAGCTTGACAAAGTTAATTTTGTATTTGATTACACCTTTTATTTAGCATTTTTGGAGTAATTTTCTTTTAAAATAATATTTTTGGCATGCTACTTATTCATGGACTAAACCAGTTTGCATGCTTGATATTTCCATGATATTGTTAGTTGTGCTGTCATGCATGGCAGTTGTGCTGTCATGCAAGGCAGTTGTGCAGTAATGCAAGGCAGTTGTGTTGTCATGCAAGGCAGTTGTCCTATCTTGCATGGCAGTGGTTCTGTAAGTAAGTCCCTTGTGCTGTCATGTAAGCCATGGTGGTGTCTTGTTAGGCAGTGGTTTTGTCATGTAAGGCAGTGGTGCTGGGAGTAAGGCGGTGGTTCTGTCTTGTCAGACATGGTTCGTGCTATTGTTAGGGGCCCACCAGTGTTTGCTCTGTGCTATTGTTAGGGCCCCACCAGTGTTTGCTCTGTGCTATTGTTAGAGGCTCACCAGTGTTAGCTCTGTCCTACTGCTAGGGCCCACCAGTGTTAGCTCAGCCCTACTGCTAGGGCCCACCAGTGTTTGCCCTGTCCTAAAGTTTTGGCCTATACCCTGATGAGCTCTGTGTCGCTGCTAGTGCCCACCAGGGTAATATCCACACCATAGGGTCATATATTTATCAAATTTCATCCTCCTAACTTATACTTATAAGTTGGTGAGCCTTCTATTCTGAGCAATCTATTTTGAGCTGTCTGTTCATCTGTGTTATATCGTAAATGTGTGTATCACGAGTTGTTTATTATATATACATCTGAACAACTATGACACGCATTTGTTAAGCCGTATCTATTTTTAATGTCATTTTATGGCCTCACTGACTAATCAACGGTTCTCAGTCAGTAGAGAGTTTTTGTAAATATATTTGTTAGTAAATTTCCACCGACTTCAACAGTTGTTCCTATTTTTCAGGGCACAGAGGTCAAGGCCATTACATATTCCAACATGCAGGTGCATGCAGATTCAGAGAAACATGACATCTTTGTCATCATTGACATTTAAAGTGTGTTTCTTGTGTTGAGATCTTTCATGTATAAACTATAATAACACTACTATCATGTGAATGTACGGTGGAATAAACTCTATACATCTTTAGCTTGTTTTTATTGCCATTAGTTGAAAGTTTATACCCATAAATTATGTAAGCAAATGAGCAAAGGAATATCTTTTACATTATCTCTACCATAACATGTTTTACTGTACCGGTATCATAAAGTTTACATTCAATTAATTAACACATTTTTTTTTAAATCCATATTTTCTTACTTACTTGCCTAGAAGCATTTTGAACATGATAAAGTTCTATGGAATTGAACAGATGTTCAATACAGATACTACTACTACGATGCCAAAGATGAATCCTTAAAACCCCCTCCGGAACACCCCCACACGGGACGACGCTGGGTTTCCCCTCCGCCACACTGTGCGGAAGAGCGTCAGAGACCTGCCCCTCGAGCTTAGGGAATGTCCGGTCGACCATACACACTCCATCAGAGCATGAACAGACCACTCTCCGTGGGTCAGAACGGCTTTACTTTCTCTCCGGGGGAGAGGTGTTGCATTACCTTCCCCCACCACCCAGGGAGTTGTTCGGTCTAGACGTAGCGTGGCGGGGATGAAACGGTAGCCTAGGAGCGGCTTTCTCAGGGCAGCGTATTTTAAATCCTTGGCAAGGTTTTTTGCTGCCAAACCTCATATCCATTATCGGCGACAAGTAATCATGTTAGGTATGCTACTTCCGTTGCGTTGGAAGTCATGCAAGTGGCTGGGATCTTTTAGCTTCAGCAGGAAACATCCTTACTGGTCTGTCACGCCACGAAGAGGCAAGATCCCATGTGACACCCCCAAGTCTCCTTGGTGGTGTGGGTCCCTGACCTAGAGGCGTTCCACCAGATCACTCCCGCAGGGGAGAGAGAGCTGATACTCTTATGGGTCGAGATTCCATCTCTTCGGGCCCTGGCCATGAAACATAGTTGTTCCTGAGGACTCGGGCCATGCAACACGGTCTTGAGTAGGGGGTTCCGGCTGTTTGCTTCCACTCATTGGGGAGAAGGTTTTGCGTCACCCCCCCCCTCCCCCGCCCATTGAGTCATTCGGTCTGGACGTTGGGTTAAACGGCTTTGCTTCCTCTCAGGGAGGGGGGGGTGTTGCGTTACCTCTCCCCGCCCTCTAAGGAGCTGTACGGTCTGAGGTGTGGTACAGCTTTACTTCCTCTCCGGGGAAGGTGTTGCGTTACCTCTCCCCGCCCTCTAAGGAGCTGTACGGTCTGAGGTGTGGTACAGCTTTACTTCCTCTCCGGGGAAGGTGTTGCGTTACCTCTCCTCATCGTCTAAGGAGCTGTACGGTCTGAGGTGTGGTACAGCTTTACTTCCTCTCCGGGGAAGGTGTTGCGTTACCTCTCCTCACCGTCTAAGGAGCTGTACGGACTGAGGTGTGGTACAGCTTTACTTCCTCTCCGGGGAAGGTGTTGCGTTACCTCTCCTCACCGTCTAAGGAGCTGTACGGTCTGAGGTGTGGTACAGCTTTACTTCCTCTCCGGGGAAGGTGTTGCGTTACCTCTCCCCACCGTCTAAGGAGCTGTACGGTCTGAGGTGTGGTACAGCTTTACTTCCTCTCCGGAGGGGGGTCTCGAGCGTAACTTCCTCCCACTGCCCAGGGAGTTGTTCGGTCTGTGGGTCGGAACAGCTTTGCTTTCTCTCCGGGAGAAGGTGTTGCGTTACCTACCTCCACCGTCCAGGGAGCAGTTCGGTCGGGACTATGTCGGGACGAAACGGTCACCTAGGAGCGACTTTCATAGCTCTTTTCTTACAATGAATAATGGCTCCGTCTAAACACATTGGCGACCAGCTTTACGTGTTTAGCTGTGCATACAATAATAATAGTATCCGTTATGGAGGGCATCTCTTGCGCCGTCCCAATCTCGCCAAGGTCTAATCTGTAAATCATTCTGGCACTTGTTCAACAGCTCTGTTCTACGCAAGGGATTAATAAATAAATGGGTATAGCAACATCGGGCGCCCCAGATGCAATAGCAACATCAGGCGCCCCAGTGGCCATAGCAACATCGGGTGTCCCATGGCCATAGCAACATTACGAACCCCATGGCCATAGCAAAATCAGGTTCCCCATGACCAGTATAGCAATAAAAGGCGCCCTATGACCATAGCAACACCAGGGTCCCCGTGGCCGTAGCTACATCTGTTGTCCCCAATGGTTGGCCCTTGACGCAGAGCCGTGGAAAGGAAATACTACGCAAGGGGCAAATTATGTATTTAGGCGCACTCTTCCCATAAAATTTGTATTACTACTCATAGTTACACGTGAAAAATAATGATTTTCACGCCCTCTGAAGATGGCGCCTGGGGCAAGGTGCCCCCTTTCACTCGGCCCTGTGTTGACGTCACTTTAAATTTACAAGAAACATGAGGTGCAAAATGATCAGTTACGTCCGGGAAAGCCATTTTCCGGACTACCTTCTAATTTCTAACGTCGTGACAACAGAGGTACGGTAAACAGACACGTGACGGAATAAAATTCCACGAAACCTGATGAGTTCGGGCTGATCGCTTTCCTAGACATAATAATAACATTTAATTTCATCTTTGTTTTTCATGCTACAATAATACGATATTTTCTGTGGATTTATTCTTTTAATTCGCCTCCGACCTACATAAAGAATGCGTTTATGATTATGATTCCCCTCCTCGGACCGATAGACGATCTGGCTGGCTGCCGTCCATGGTTTGCCTTGTAAAAGTTATGGGGTGGGGTGGGTGAATATACATAGCTGTTCTTTATTTCACAAATGTATTTTATTTTAATGTCATGATTATGTCTCTTTTGATAAAATTTTTATGTACACCGCTGTGAGCCCAGCCCTAGGCTGGGGTACCGCGCTATATAAGACCTCTTATTATTATTATTATAATGATCTGACAAAAGATCTAGATTTAAAAAAGAAAAGAAAATGAAATGTTTTCAAGTCTCTAAAGATCCAATGTGTTAGAAGGCGCACGGAAGCGTTGTTAAGGCCAAGGAGACGAAAAACAAACCACCGTATTTATTGGCCTATAACATGCACTTTTTCTCCCCGAAAATAGGGGGGCAAATCATGTGTGCTTATCATACGCCGATATAATGTAGTTTTTTCCCCTGAAATTTCCTTCTTAAATTGAGGTGCGTGCTATACTCGGGGGGGGGGGGGGGTATTATACGCCAATAAATACGGTATTTTCAAATTCTCAAGGGTTTTTTTTTTTTATTACGACATACATTTGTTTTTTTAATTTTTAACTAAAAAGATTCATTTAAAAAAAAACAACAGGTAATGAATGTCGTAAATAAGGTAATTCATACAAAACAACTCCTGCCTTCTGCCTCGTCCAGCCCATCAGAGTTTAATCAGTTTGACAAGGGCCATCAGAAATTGATGAAAATGGGTCAGCAAACAGCCGTTGGAATTTTCTTAAATAATCTTATGAGGATGTGTCACGAACTGTGACGTGTGGGATGATTGGGTGGGGGGTCGAAAAGTGTGGGGGTCACCAATGCCAAGGAGGCAAGCATGAATGTAGGTAGAACAGACTTTTTTTTATCTTTTACATTTTCGACCGTCCAAGATCGACAACTCTGCTCAACATCTACTAAGGATTCCACTGTCCAAGGTTGTCAGCTCTGTTCAACATCTTCAAAAGCTTCAACTGTCTAAAGATTGACAACTCTGTTCAACATCTACAAAGGATTCCACTGTCCAAGGTTGTCAGCTCTGTTCAACATCTTCAAAAGCTTCAACTGTCTAAAGATTGACAACTCTGTTCAACATCTTCAAAAGCTTCAACTGTCTAAAGATTGACAACTCTGTTCAACATCTTGATCATTGGAGGAGGACTTACATGGTTAACAATAGATTAAACTAAAGTAATGTGGCCAAACTATAAACATTAACTTAATATCTCCTACTCTCAGTGTGTAGGTTGGGGAGTAAATTTAAAATAGTGATTGTTGGGGAGTAAATTTAAAGTAGTGATTTGAGTGGGGGGGGGGGGGCTAGTGCAGGAACAGGTAATTTTCAAATCTTTTAACTCTGTAAGCAAGCTATAAAGAGTATAGATAATTGATATATATATAGTTAAATAACCAACAAAGTATATGTAAGCGTGGGATAGAAAGTCAGGACAATAAAAGAATACTGTTTCGGTTAAGAGTCTTCCTCAGCAGACAGCACTAATGAAGAAATAACAAGAAATAGAAAGTACCGGTATATAAAAACTTATTTTTTCGCCATGGTCTTGTATTGCGGGTATTTATCTGTTAAAAAAACACAACAGCACTTGTGAAGGAACGCCATCTACATAGCCATAACTACATTCAATTTAAAAAATAAAAAGAATCAAAAAAAAAAAAACCAAAAAAAAAAAAAAAAAAAAAGAAAAAAAAAAAAACACAACAGCACTTGTGAAGGAACGCCAACTACATAGCCAAAACTAAATTAAATTAAAAAAAAAAAAAAAATAAAAAAAAAAAAAAACCAAAAAAAAAAAAAAACAACAAGAAAAAGCATCAGGTTGCAAGTGCCTCTGAAGGAGTTTCGTATTGCGTAACTACAATTCTGTAGGTCAAAGGTTAGGTTTACGATCATAGAATTAAATATGGCTGAAAGGGGCAGACTTTCGGAATAGGGGTGAGTGGGCTCCAACCGAGGGTGGCCGTGAAAGGGGTAGACTTTAATTACAGGGGCGAGTGGGCTGTAATCGAGGTTGGCTATGAAAGGGGCAGACTTTAATTACAGGGGCGAGTGGGCTGTAACTGAGGTTGGCCATGAAAGGGGTAGACTTTGATTAAAGGGGCGAGTGGGCTGTAACCGAGGGTGGCCATGAAGGGGGCAGACTTTAATTACAGGGGCGAGTCGGCTGTAACCGAGGTTTGCCATGAAAGGGGCAGACTTTGATTAAAGGGTTGAGTGGGCTCCAACCGAGGGTGGCCATGAAAGGGGTATACTTTAATTAAAGGGGCGAGTGGGCTGTAACTTGGCGCGCAAGTTTGCAGGGGTGAAAAATCCGATCGTTAACTTGTAATTTAAAGACAATAAATATCAGTTAGAGTAAGAGCTGTCGGTCTGAAAGG